TATATATATACACACACACACATGAGGTAGCATTGGTTATTATTATCATCTGTAGCCTTGATACTTAACGTAGCCCTTGCGTCATTTTAGGTCCTCTTTCATGCCCAGCAGCTAAAGTCACTTATTACTGGTTACATATTTCACATAAAAGCATAATAAAACGTACATTTTTGTGGGAGGCAGGTTGCTAAATGGCCGTAATTCATGAAGTGTAGGGCTTAAACTACCCATTCAACACCAGTATAAACACATTGTGAGATGGTGTGTGGAGAGCTAATGTACTTTAACCCCTTTACGACCAGTGACGTACGTCATTGGCAGCGGGGCCCGTTTAAACAGACCCTGTGTAAAGCTGTCGGCTTTACAATAGAAGCGATTCTGGCGGCTCAGCTGCCGTCAGATAGCTTCTACGGGCCGGTAAAGTGCCCACTGGACTTTTCCAGTTTCCCGGGCACCTGCATCTCAGGTGTTGGCGGGAAGCTGAGGGAGGAGAGCAGCAAACGTCCGTTCACTGATCTCCTACCCGCTCTAGGACTGGGAGCGTATGCGTATTGCATAATTTCCAGTCAGTGCTGGGCTCCTGAAGCCGAACAATAAGCAATCTGGACTTCAATAGCTTATTTAAGTGGAAGGGTGATACTAGGGGTCTTTTGGACCCCCAGCATCACCTTAAAGAGTACCTGTCACTGCCAATATGCTATCACATGGGGGGCTTATAAGCCCCTTCTATGTGATGGCAATTAAAGTAAAGAAAGAAAAAGTTCCAAAAAATAATTGTAAAAAAATGTTTAAAGTCTCCCACGAGCACACGCATATTCATGCAAATAGGCGTTGGGTTCATCTGCGTATGAAAACGGCAATCGCACTACATATGTTGGGTATCGCCGCACACGCCAGAGTGAGTGCAATAATTCCAGGTCCAATATTTACGTGTATCTCTAAATTGATGGCTCTTAAAGCGCCGTCTATGGACTTTTTGGGGTACTGAATTTTGTCACTGTTTCACAGACGCACACAATTTTTAACCTGGGTATCTATTTACTTGTCGTACCCTCATCTTTTATATTTAAAAAAAAAAATGGTTTTATATAGTGTTTTGGGGCACAAAATTTTACTTAAGTGCCTTTTATTACTAAATATTTGTGTTTGATAAAGAGTTGCGCTTGTGCAACATAAAGATTTGCAACTGCCACCATTTCATTCTACAGGGTCTTGGCTTTCAGAAAATATATCATGTTTGAAGTAATTTTCAGGCCTAAAATGTGGATTATAACGTATGCAAAAAAAACAAAAAAAAGTCTTTGGCAGCGAAAGGGTCCTTAAGGGGTTAAATGAGCTGAACCTGAGAAGGTAATAATTATCAAGAGGTTGAGAGAAATGAATCCATTTGTCAGTAAAGTGGATAACCCCTTTAATTGATAATCAGTGCTCCCCTCATCAGCTATAGATGATGGCACAGGACATGTTGGTGAGCAAGTAAATTAGCAATGATCTCTGATTGTGGGAGTTTCTGGATATTTGGATTCTATTGAAGGGCACATATAAATATCATCTTGCTTATTACACTTTAATACTTCTGCTTTAAGAGGTTGCACTTACACTTTTTTTTTCAGGTCGGATTAAGGCCATTCAGTTGGAATATACTGAAGCCAGAAGGACTCTGACTAATGCTTTGAGGAAGGCACCCCAACACACAGCCGTGGGCTTCAAACAGACGGTAAGATATTGCTGGATGATTCTACAAATCCTGAATTGAGGGGTTTTGGTGCATGAAGGAGTAAAGTCAATTCTCTGTTAAGCTTGTTAGAAATGTCTTACCTGTGCAGATGCTCTTTTAGGTGATTGGATGTTACTTTGTGACACACTGGGGTGGACCTACTAAAGAAGTAGATGTCGTCAAATGGAACACTAGTAAATAGAGTGAACACCAATTTTTATTTTTTATTATTATTCATCTTTTTTCCCCCCTTATTTATGGGGTTTTTTGTTTTTTTTTTATTACACTTTGAACATTTGCTCTGCTAAGTGAACGGCCTCTACTTCTATACTGAATTAAACACGGTTCTCTTTCTGATTCCTGTCTTTTTGTTTTTTTCCTCTCCTCAGGTTCACAAGCTTCTGATTGTGGTTGAACTGCTACTAGGAGAAATTCCAGATCGCCTCCAGTTTAGACAGCATTCACTTAAGAGGTCTCTTATGCCTTATTTCCTCCTCACCCAAGGTGAGCCTACATGCTCCTTTTAAAAACACCTTAATATTCAGAAATCTATTTTTACATCATCGCATTACTTATTTTGGCCTGCAGGTATCACTCTTGTACTGCTGCTAATGGCAAGTTTTAAGGCGTTATTCACTAAAGGGTGAAGAGTTTGGAAAAGGCAGGAGAAGTGAACAATCTGGAACAACATAGCTGATTTGAAAAATGTCTCCAGTTCAGCTCCCTTTCCAGTTCAACTATGTTGTCCTAGATTGTTCACTTCTCCTGCCTTCTCCACACTCTTCATTCTTTTAGTGAATAACCCCCTTAGTCTCTCTGGGAGACAGGTCGCTGCATAATCTCAGATCAATTTTTTCTGTATATTGGGTTAAAAAAATTCTAGTGTCGGATGCAAGGCATTTACGATCTCATCTTCGTGTTGTAATTGCATTTGCTTCATCACTGCAGGTTACAATAGGACATATGTGCAAACTGCACAACTACACAGACGTAGTGTGTAAAATGCTTTCAGTAAGATAAATGGGATAGATTCACCATTACATTTCAATTAGTACCGTATTGTATGATACACACAGTAGGGTCCAAAAGCAGCAGTTACTCATTTGTGTAAAGACTTGTTCACTTTGTATAAATGATGGAATAATTTATGGCGACAGTCTCTGACTTTTGGATCCCTGCTCAGGCATACAGTAACATGATGTAAGAGATGTGTACAAGACTCTTACATGGCTTTTCTGTTTCAGCTGTCCGTACAGGAAATCTGGCCAAGTTTAATCAGGTGCTGGAGCAGTTTTGTGACAAGTTCCAGGCAGATGGAACGTACACACTCATCATTCGACTGAGGCATAATGTCATCAAAACCGGTGAGCAGATGACTTGTGAATAGACCCTGCTAGGAGCTGCTAGAGTGAATAGTGATATAATGTTCTGTTGATGAGCCACAAGACTCACAAGTATTGCTTTTCTAATACTAGCATATTGGTGATTTTTTTCCCCCTGTATCACAGTGAAGCTCTGGGACTTAATTTTGCTGTTAAAAACATAATGAGTGCTCTATTCACCAAAAAGTATTCTTTTTTTTTTTTAAAATATATATATATATATATATTTCTCTCGTTTTGTTTCTGTCTGTGTCTTTTAGCTGTTGTATTATTTGTTCACCTGCATTTAAAGAGACCCTATCACCAACTTAAAAAATTGCAGCCCTGTCACTATCCTAAAAGAACTCAATGGTGGGTACCCTGTCCTGTACTTAATTACTGTCAGGGGAGGAACGACAACACGGGGTTGAAAACACCAGAAGTGTTGTATAGCAAAAGCTCCCAGGGCTTTTAAAGCAAGCAAAGATTTGCCTTGCCACCCTCAGGACAGATATATTTTCATTCTGTTCTTTTACTGGGTGCATGCTATTGTGTTCTTTTAGGATAGCAACATGGCCCATATAAAAAAAAGTAAGTGGTAGGCATGTACCTTTTTTGTTTCTTGCAAGTTGTTACTGAACTTCCTGGAGCAAACAATCCTAAGTACATGTGTATACACTGAGTGGGACTAGTCAGCTCTTGTACCCACTCTTCCCTCGGATTCCCCATTGCAGCACCATTGTAGGATAACATGACCCTTAGTTTGGCTTCAATGTAAGTCTCAGAGTTGGTGGTTTCCAGGTGACATAGGAGAAAATAAAAGGACACAATTGATTGACTCGTCAGACCGGCCTTTGCGTCATGCAATGTTCAAGTAAACCTGAAATATGATTGGTTTTTATAGTCAACTGACTTTTCCTTCCAGTCTTTTTCTGATGGTTTTTCTTTTTATAAATAGCCATTTGATAACATTGCAACAGTAGGCTAGTTGTTGGCTTACAACTGCAGGTACCAGGCGATTGGACTTTTTACCCAGCACTGCCTCTAAGATAAAGCAAAGTAGAGAGCCGTTCTGGGCAACCTTTTATTGTGGCACCTAAAATCAGAAATATGTTTATCAGTGTTTGATATGCCTCGCCTGTGTGTGCTTTTATTTTTGTATGTGTTTTCATCACATTCTTGTTCTTTAGGTGTACGTATGATCAGCCTGTCATATTCTAGGATCTCTCTGCCTGACATTGCCCAGAAGCTGCAGCTTGACAGTCCTGAGGATGCTGAATTCATAGTTGCTAAGGTAAATGGTGAGAAAAGACATAGCGGGAAATGTACATAAGCACTCTTCGTTGTTGAAGTGCTGTTGCTTAGACTCTTTTTGTAGAACAATTTATTTTAAAGCTAAACTCTAGGCAGGTTTTTATTTGTGGTTCTGGATAGAGTGGAGAAAAGTTAAACTTTGTTGGGTATTTACTTTTTTTCACTGATCCTATTGAGGAAATTCTTCCTCACTTCTTGACCCTGTGACACATGTACAAAAGATGGGGGTCACTGGAGAAGGAAGATACTATAATTCTTTTTTTACTTCATTTAAATTTGGTTAGTTTTGTCTGTGTGTGTGTGTGTGTGTGTGTGTGTGTGTGTGTGTGTGTGTGTGTGTGTGTGTGTGTAAGCA